TATGTGTTAAATATGGGCTGAGGTAACCATGTATATACCTATGCAATCTGGAAGCATAGAATGGCTTCTACAGAGGAAAGAGGAGAGGAAGGGAAGGAAAGAGTAATAAAAGTGAGAAGGAATAGGAGAGTTGAGGCGGCAGAAGCTTAGAAAACTGTACCAACTAAAATAGCTACTTGGTTCTAGACCTGTCAGTTCCTGATCCCCATTCCTGCGAAGTCTCCAATGTCTAATTGCTCTTGAGTTCTACAGAAGACTCCATTCTCTAGTAGCAAAATTCTTTTATTTAACTTATATTGTGTGGAGGTGGGGTTCTTGAAACCAAATGTAACATGAAAGATACATGCAACATTGAGTACTTAGAGTATACATATACCATCAAACCCTGATCTTTTATTGTATGCTTCTAGTATTAACTTAATCAATGAATGGAATACAGGATGCACAATCTTAGCAATAACTAATCCAAAGCAAAGTCTTTTGTAACAAAATTTAATTTGTAAATAATTTATGAGGTCTTTCAACACATAAATGCTACAAAGGGTTTTATGGAATGACTTGTTAACTTGCATTTCTCTTCATTATTTTTTGTGCCTGAGGATTATTTTTTAAAAAGTAACACTGAATTGTTATGGTTTGGGTGTCTGTACATTGTCACAGGATCATCATATGCTCCTTAGTAGACTCTTTCTTCTAAAAATTATTTACTGAGTTCAGTGTGAACAGAATTATTTTATCACTTAATGTAGAATCTTGAATAAATAATGCTAATTTATGGATTACATAGGTTGATTCATGATTTTAATTATGGTAGTAAATATTATTTGGTTGACACACATTCTATTACTACAGAGCCCCCATGAAAAAATGTGAAGCTTCTGCCAAGACTAGGGTCTTAGATCTTAGGAGAAAATTTATCTGAGAGATGAAAGATGGGAATGAAAAAGTAACTTTAATTCATTAGCTTACTGACAGAGGTACCAGCTTCTATCCCATTAATATTAAAAAACGTCTGAACATTCAGGGCACATTTTCTTGGACATTTAGTTCCATAGTAAAGAATTTGGATCCATGACCAAGATCTTCCTATAAGGAAAATTGTCCATCAGATTTTAACTGTGATCAGCATGTTCTCATATTTTGAAAGTGGGTGATTGGTACCTTACTAGAATTAAACAAATATGAAACACAGTTCTTACATTTGGCCCATGCTAAATTTTCCCAGCTAACCAGTACTTAGAGTACCACAATACATGACAGTGTCTATTACTTAAACATTGTTATTAAAATATTGGCTAAAGGCTGATGCAATTGGGAAGATGCCAGGACTTTCCCCACCCCAAGATGTTTTTCACCTTACTTAGGAGTAAGAATTTCAGTTCCAGGCTAGGATGCCAGGATCCCAAGCTACCCACGAGATATATGAGTTGCCTACTAAAAATTAGTTAACATGTTTCCTACTGGGAATAAGTCTAATCCACTGTTTCAGATG